AAACACTTGTTGTAATGACTAACTACTCCTGACATTTTGGAGATGTTAGCTCTTTATACAGTAAAGTTACAGCGGGATAAAAATAATATCAGGCTGATCCTGCCACAATTTGTCCCCCGGTTCAAATTACGAACAAACAGTATTCCACAGTTGTTTATGTTTTTGAACCCATTTTTCACAGAGAGGCATTTTTTGAAAAATGTATTGATAGCAATGTTGAATATTATTACACAGGAAAAAAACAGCTACACGTAAAATAATTACACCATGACGCCTCTGCCTTTCTAAATGGAGGGACAGTAACTGCATGTGTATATGTAAGCGTGTAAAACCTGAAGATAGTCAGATTAACAGTAACAGTATTAGTACAGTAGTAGTACAGCGTGACGTGAAAAAAGGCACATACCTTTGACGTTGCGTGACAAACTCTGTATTCATCGTCCACACTTAAATGCAAAAAAGGAGTTTTAAAAATCTTAGTTTTTGGTGATTCGAAACGCCGTTTACGTGTGAACGAAAGGCCCAAACGCACAGAAAGAGCTGCGTTTTCAAAAATACCCGTGTAGGTGTGGACGTAGCGTAAAAGAGTTAGTAGGGTTTTTTTTATTACTACCTGTAATTTATTGCAGCTTACTTGTATTTGCTTAATTGTTTACTAAATGTTTGAGGTGTGAAATAAACAACAATGGAGCAAAATATGGCGGGGGGGGGGCAGACATTTTTCTTGTAAAACACAGGGGGGCCTAGCAAAAAAGGTTTGGGAACCACTGTCCTAAGGCAAGATTCACATGGACACATTGCTTAACACAGATTACCTATCACAGTTGTTAACTTCTTCATTTTGGTGCCAAACTGCATAAGGAACTATCTCTCTCACTCAGGATTTCCACTGATAATGTCATCTGATTCGGTGGCGCCTGCGCTGGTGTTTGAAAAGTTTCATATTTCAACACAAGCACTGCATGCAAAGCAGATGACAAAAACTGAAGTGGATGCGGTTTCTCAATACATTAGAGTTGGACCCTTTCATGCATGAATTATGACAACCTCAATCGGGATTTTTACTTTTCTTAAGTATTTTTATTCATATTTAGGCATGAAAAAAAAGATTTTTGAACTAGCATGTGCATTTTGAACTTCATTTTTTTAAACATACGTTTTTCATGTTTTTTAAACATGGCAGGGTATGGACTGACACACCAGTGTCCAATGTAGTGGTTTATGTGCAAGTATACCATCAACACTGACACAAATACAAGAAAAAAACCTTTGAATAGCTGTCCACTGTAGTGACCACCAATGTTCCCTCTAATTTTTCATGTGTCTGAGTGAAC